GCACTCTTCTGGTATGTCGCATTCACACACAACAACCTTAAGACACAGGCACTGCTATCACCCTAATTCTTAGCCGAGGAAACCCAGGCAGAGAAGCTGGACTGCTTGCTCAAGTTTATGAAGCCAGAAACCAGTGGAGTCCATATCCAAACAAAGGCGGTCTGAGTTTAAGAGCTCTTAACCACTATGTTACAGCTGCCTGTACACCTGAACAGTACATTATAGACATTGTAGTTTAGAAAGCAATTGTCCACCCAGCATCCTATTTAAGCTTGTCAAGTAGCAGGAGATGATTACTAACCTCATTTAATAGATGAGGTAACTGAAGTTCAACTATTAAGTCCTGACACTGTGAGCTCCTGATAGGGACAGTGTACTGTTTGCATTCGTAAGATCCAGGTCTGAAATGAGGAAGGTGCTTCAGCGTTTGCTCAACGACTGGCCCCATATCCCACAGCAAGTGTGAGGCACAGATGCACCTAGATCCTAGTTAGGCCTTCTGTCTATGAGTCAATGATCAAGATGAAAATACTCAATACACACACATAAGCGGCAAGCATATATTAAGTATTACAGGAGCATTACTGACCACAAATGGTGTGGGAATCAAAGGAGTAAAAAACACGGGATAGCTGTACAGATGGACTTGTTAGAAAGTACAGACATTGAGCTAGACCTTAAACTGAGCTAGACCTAGATTTTTCATAAGCTGAGAAGGGGAGGCAGCATTCTAGGCTTGGGAAAAGACATAAGTAAAGTAACAAAAGGAAGAGAGAGCTCGATGGGTTTGGAAATGTTGGTTCCAGGAAGTTATACGTAAGAAGGTAGTGAAAGATAAAGAAGGAAAGGTAGGTAATAACTAACAGAGAGATATATGAATGTCAGGATAAGCTGTTAAGATTTTAACACAGGAAACAGTAACTATTAAAAGTCTGGGGAGGGAAGAAAATCGAACTACAATGTATAAAATATATGTTTTAAGACATCTGACAAAAGAGTTTTCCAGAGATGGGAGTCATAAAACAACAACCAGAAATAACCCAACTGATGAAACCAAGGAGTCAGAGCAAAATTACTGACTAATAACTCCAATGCTGCACTGACTGGAGAAGTGTATTTGAAGCCCTGAGGCTGCGTGGTGTCTTCATTAAAAGAATAATAGAGCAACTGACTGAGGAGCTTTGGAGTATTATCCTCCGTGAGGATAATCTGATAAGCCAGGTCCATCATGCGCCAAGCCAGAAGAGAGGCGAGAAGACTTGGGGAGCAAGCCAACAAAGAGAAACTCCAATGTTTAAAGGTCAGATGGAAACATGTCAGCAGTAGACAGCACCATATTGGCAAGAAGTGCTTAAGAAATAACCCCAAGTAGATTGCCCATCTGTTTCAACCTAGCAACAGCTATCTTTAAAGGAGATTTTTCTGTATTTGACAAGGCGACTTGGTACATGCTGAAAATGAAAAGGTGAAGCTTTTAACAACACAAGAAAGAAAAAAATTTTTGACAGAACAAGCTGTGATACTCAGATAAAATGCCTGATTATGATTCAGACTGAAATAATAAAGTTACTGCAAACTGAGTAAAATCCTTTTGGATTTAGCTCTTTTTTACATGATGCTTAATAGTACATCCTAATTTGACCATTCTTTCTGGAAATATGTTCATATAATTTTGAAAATTTAGAAAAATATAAAGTATTCATGTGTTAATAGACCAGAAAGAAATGGACTATCCCTCTAATTTTCAAACTTGTACAAAGATTACTAATATCAGCCCTAATTATGCTATGCTTTCTTTGGACCATTTAAAATGCGTCAGAGTAAAAGATACATGGCACTAATAATAATAATACATGTCATTTTAAAAATATGTTCAATTAAAAATATTTCCTAATTCCTATTTTAATTTCCTCCTTGACCCATAAACTATTTAAAGTGTATTAGTTTCCGGGCAGTTAAAGATTTCTTAGTTAACTGCGTTATTAAATGTGAGCTTGATTCCATTGTGGTCAAAGAGCATACTCTGAACAATTTCAATCTTGAAATTTGTAGATTTCTTTAGGGTTCAGTATATGACCTATTTTGATAAATATTCCTGTGTACTTTAAAGAATACAAACTATAGTTTTGCAGGGTGTAGCATTCTATGTATGTCAATTAGGCTTAGTCTATTCATTACTTTATTAAAATCTTCTATATTCTTACTCATTTCTTGAGTGTTTTATAAGCTCTTAAAGTGTATGTCTACCACTAGGGTTGATTTTTAGTTTTAAATTTGTCAATTTTTGCTTTATATATTTTGAAGTTATGTTATTTATAACATACAGATTTAAGATCATGATACTGACTCCTTTATCATTATGAAACAATCTCTCTTAAAGTAGCATTTGAGCATTTGTGTACTTTGTCTGATATTAGTGTTGCTATACCAGCTTTGCTCTGGTTAGTGTTTGTATTATATATCCTCTTCTATCTGTTTAAAGTATGTCACTTGTAAGCAGTGTATAATAGGGTTTTGGTTATTTATCAAATCTGACACACAGTCTTTTACTTGGAGTATTTAGCACATTTATATTCAACGTAACTACTTATACTGATGGATTTACAGCTACCATCTTATATTTTGTTTTCAATGTGACCACTTATTATTTTATGGCTCTTTTTATTACTTTTTTGACTTTTTTTAGATTAATGTTTTATTCCATTTCCCCCCTCTTTTAACTTGTTAAATATACACATTTTATTCTTTTTTAAGTTACTTTAGAGATTATAGTATGTACCCCTGACTGATTACAAGCTGAAGTACATTACTACTTTTCCTATCCCCCCAATATTCTAGAATCTTAAAACACTTTAGTTTTTTAACTCCATGTCCCGCTTTTTGTGCTATTATATTTTAGTTTTACATACATTTTAAACTCTAAAAACATTATATTATTGCTTTGCACAGTCAACATCTATTTATATTTTACATATTTATCCTTTATGATGTCCTTCATTCTTTCCCGCATTTCCATCTGGGATAATTTTTTTCTGTTTAAGGTACCTCCCTTTAGTATTTATTGTAAGGCAAGTCCACTACTGACAAATCTCCTCAGTTTTTGTCTGAAAATATTTTTACTTCACCTTCATTTTTGAAGGAAATTTTTACCAAGAATAGAATGCCAGATTGGCAGATTTTTTTTCTTTCAGTACTTTAAAGATGGTCATTTCATTGTCTGTCTTTTTATTTATTTTTTAATAATTTCTTTTAAAATGTCACAGTCAGGTTAATCATAATATTGCTCCTTTAAAAGTAAGGTATTTTTTTCTACCCTCTGGTTGCTTTTAAGATTTTCTCTTTGTTAAAGGTTTCCATAGTCTTATACAGATGTTCAAAGATGTGTTTCCTTCTTAATCCTTCTGTTTAGGGTTTTCTAAGTTTTTGAATCTGTATAAACTCCTGTTTTTCATCATTTTGTAAAATTCTTAGTACTATCTCTTCAAATACTGCTTCTGTCCCACTTTCTTTTCTTATTCTGGGACTGCAATTCTACATGTTAGACCTTTTTTTCTCTGTGTTTCAGTTTGAGATTATCTACTGTCTGCCTCTTTCTCCCTACTTATTAATCCTGTTTTGTATTGTAACCAATCTTCTATTGGTTCTAGCCATTAATTCCAATTTCAAATATGGTACATTATATTCTAGAATGTCTACTTGGTTTTTCATAATAAAATCAAATTATGCTGAAATTCTCTATCTTTCCAACAATTTTGTCCATCTTTTCCTGTATCTGTTGTCTGGACATATTATTTATAGTTATTTTAAGCACTTGTCAGCTGACTCTCAATATCTAATTCATCTCTGGGCCTGCTTCTATTGCCTTGTTTATGGGTCATATAATGTTGCCTCTTAGGTGTGTAATAGTTTCTTACTGTATGTGGAACACTGTATATTCTCTATATAGTGTTATTTTCTACCTGCAAAAAATGACAGAGAGGGCTCCCCTTGTACTCTGTTACACAAGTGGGGAGAAGGATTATCACCCAGTAAGGGACTGAGTTGGGCTGGGAATGAGTTGCCATTTTTGTAGGACTCAGTCTGTCTCTGGTTTGCCCCTGCTCTTGACGCATGGCTCTCCATGCAGTTCAATGAGACATCTCTGTCTCCACAGCAATGGAATCACTTCTACCCTTAGGAGGCTTAGAATAGCCTTTTGCCTCCTGTCCCAATCACCTTCAAAGCTTGGTATATGTCTTCAGAGGGAGACTAATCACATGTTGGGGGCTTCTCCAGTCCTACTTGTTTTTTACTCTAGTACCAGAAATCTCTTTTGGATTTTTGTCTCCCAGAAGCACCCTGCTGCTAAAGGCCAAACCTGTACTGTAATGTGCCTGTTACACCTGGAATAGATAGACGACCCAGGTGATAAGTAGCTATAGATCTTCATGGTTGAGAGAACACTCTCCTTGGGTTTTCATCTCTTGTCTATTATGTTTTCATATCGCTCCCCACAGCAGGTCTGCATTTTAACATAGCACCGTAAGGCTGTGGGAGATTTCGACGTGTCTTCCAGAAGCTTTTGGCCCATCTCTTCAGCTCCCCTCCACCTTCTCCCATCAAGTCTCTAATTCGTGACTCTAGCAATGTGTGGCCAGAAAACTGTGCTAATTTCTCTTTCACCTAGTAGCCCTCTGCCTCAGCTTATGTCTCCAGAGTCATCAAGCTTCTGCGGAAAATAGAGTGGCTGGTAACTGTCAGTGCACCTCTGAATGATTCTCCCATCTCTGGGATTTTAGTCCAACTATTTTCGTTGCTTCCAGAGCACTCCAGAGCCTTTAAAAATATGATTTGTATAGATACTGTCAGCATTTCTAACAAACCACATATTACATCTTGTACTACTAATTATGTTTAATGAATTTCTAAATATTTGTAAGATATTAAGTCTTAATATTTTCCAAAGTAAAGTTTAAATATGCTTTTGAAATAAAAGCATCGGTAAAACAATTACTTCTTACCTCTTCATAAAACTTCACCTGAGGTACAGCTTCATTAATTTCATTCAAACAAAAATCTTTAAATAGCAAGAAACCTAAAGGAAAAGAATAAAAAATTTCAGGGTGGGTAATAAATTGAAATTTTACGCCACAGGGCATCTTCAAAGTAATGTGTTTATACCTCAACCTCTTCCTCCTTTACCTTAAAAAAATAATAATAAAATAAAGGTTTCAAGAGACTAATTATATCCTAGAGGGCAATACTCCAGGTAAAGGAAGAGTGCCACATACCTGGCTTCTTAGTTTGGGGTTCTTTCTCTATTAGCAACCCCCCTCCCACTTTTTAAAAATGCATGATAACCAGTGCTGCTGTCACCACCACTTAGAGCCACTGGCCACTATCGCGAGCAGAAGGATAAGCAAAGAAATAAGAGATTCAGGTAGTACGGAAGTGTTGGTAAGAGTCACCATGGAGCTAATAAATACAATGACCACGGAAACAGGACTAAACTTCCAAAGAAGTCATAAGGACTGTCGCAACCTTTCTAGCCTTTCCTCTCGCCACTTAATACAGTGCCCACCAAATACCTCATGCCAGGGCCCATCCCCATCCCCAAATCATTCTTCACTCCTTCACAACTCCACGCCTCACCTTTACACCTTTAAAAAATCAGTATTGTATGCCTAGAATACCACCTCCATTGCACAGTGCCTGGTACATAACAGGAGGCCAATAAATATTTGTTGGATGAATGTTTGCTTACACAACACTTCCAACATACTCCTGTCAAAGTTACCTAGCACACTCCAATTATCTGATCTATAAGTCTCCCACGCCATTTGCAAACGTAGCGCCTAGTTTAATGCCCAACATGTGGTCAAGCCTGAATGAATAAATGAAGTTGAGAAGGACAAGCTGATATCAGACAGCAGATACTGGAAGATTATAAAAAGTCAAAAACAATTAAAAAGTCAAAATAATTAAAGGATTGCTAGAAGAAAGAGAAGTCGCAGAAGGGAACTAAAGAAGGGCTCACAAAAAATCTAAAATGTAGGGAGAAGGAAGACCAGAATTCCCCAGGCAGGACTGAGAAAAAGCAGCTTTGACAAGATTTTAATTAAAGTTAGTGTAAGAATTATGTAACTTGAACTTGCCTGTTACTGCTCCATAAATTCCCTCCATAGTTCCAGGAACATGACCTTTGAAATGGTCTTTCACTGGAACTAAAAGAAAAGTGGTACGACTACTTAGTTAAGTTGGCAAGGCCAGACTAACCAGGGTTGGGTGCCGACCAGCAGCAAGAACACAGCCACACCCATCTCACTGAGGAACTGAGGTAAGGCTGACATATGACGTAATTAGGAAATTCAAGAAGCAGACGAGTAGGAAGAGTTGAAGATGAGAATCTCTACCTTAATATTTGCATATTAATATTTTTATTTTAAATAAAAGCAATGACTACCTTTTCGTTCTTGTTCTTTCCAAAGTAATTTCACATTTTCCTTGTCATTTCTTCTTTAACCCATAAGTCATTCAGAAATAAGTGGTTCAATTTCCAGATATTTGGGGGGTTTTTTTCAGGTATTTTTCTGATATTGATTTCTATTTAATTCTGTTGTAGTCAGAGAACATATTTAGTATGATTTCATTGCTCTTAAATTTTTTGAAGCTTGGTTGCCGCCCAAAATTTGGTCCATCCAGGTGAATGTTTAAGTCAAACTGGTTAACCGGGTTGCTCAAGTCCATACTCTAAATCTTTACTGAATGTCTGTCTGCTTATTCTATTCTATTCGTTATCGACAGAGGACTGCTGAAATCTCCCTTTGCTAATTGTAGATTTGTTCATCTTTTTTCAATTCTGTCAGTTTTGGCTTTCTGTATCTCTTTTTCGGAAGAGAAAACTGAGATAAGAATTTGAACTTATGTATTTTTATCATACTAAAGATGTTCTTTAAGTGTCTAAATGACAACACAGACTACTATACTACACACGGGCCACTGGCTTTTGACTGCACTTGGGATCAAACTGACACTGTTCATCATGTTCCATCACAGCCTCTGGAATCTAGTCCCTCTACTTGCTTCTCCAGCGTCATCTTACGGCATTCTCTCCCAAGCTAATTTCACTTAGGCCAAGTGTCTATCTTCTAGTTTCTCTCACACCAAATTCGATCTGTTCTCAGGGTTTCTAATTTGCTATCCCCATTTCTAAAACACTCTCTCCCTGGATCTCATGGACCTTTAAAGCTCAGCTCAAATGTCCTTCTCCTTAGAGGCCTTCTGTAATTTTCATTTGTTTGCATTCTCTCTCTCATCCGTTCATATCTCTCTCTCTCTCTCTCTCTCTCTCTCTCTCTCTCACACACACACACACACACACACACACTCACACACACACACACACACACACTGTTTACAGCACTTATGACATGCATATGTTTACCTCTTCACTATCTACCTCCCCACTGCATTGTAAGCTGCATATGGACAAACTACATGTCTTATGCTCTACTACATTTGCAGGAATAGGAACACTGACTAGGACATAGAAGGAGGTCAGAAGAACAAAGGAAAGAAGAAAGAAGGTGAGGAGGGAAGAGGAGGGAAAGTAAGGGAAAATAAAAAGTTGGGAAAATGGGAGGGAAGAGAGAGAAAGGGAGGGAGGAGAAATGAGGAGGATGAAGAAGAGAGCTGAAATGAATGAACAGCCACCTTAAAATGTTTTCATCTACTTCTTTAATGAAATGTCCATTGTCAATGTGTAGGATGAGCCAAAGAACTATCGTAACATACTACAGGGGGCAAAAACCATTATTTTCTTTGTGTGTTCACATGAACTGAAGCTTTATTTTCTATCAGAGCAGCTATTACAATGGAGCAGCAAGAAGATATTTTGCCTTTTGGATTAATTTTAGATCACTGTGTTCCAGACCAAAAGCAATTTACCTTCATGAGATTTAAATTACATTAAGAAAACAAATTTCTCAGAATAAAAGCTAAAGGACAAAAATTAGGAAATAATTTGCCTATCAGGATCATTTCATCAGTGCAAATTCTCCAGATTTTAAAGAATCAGAAATGCTGATCCAACATATTTATAATTGTGCATGTGTCCACCCTTGTTCCCATATCTGAACCACTGCAAATTGCATGAATATTGATTAACTTTTAAGTGTATATAACATCCAAGAAATACAAACTATCTCAATTTTCTACCGCAATATTTTGCAAAAATTAGTAGAAAGAACTGTACTTTTTATAAAATGTCAATGAGAACTTCTGAAAGTATTAGATATAAGTGGTATCTATGAGAAATTCTGAAATTTTACCCCTTAAAAAATTTAAAAAGTGAAAAGAGAAATATGAAAAAAATCTTGCAGGAAATAATACTAGGTGTTGCTGGAGAGATTCAAATACTGGGAAGGAGGATAGACTGTGTTAACTCCTAAAAGTTCCCACCAATATAGACAGACTGATTCGACAAAGCATTTACTGAGCTTCTACTAAGAGCCCCTGAGCTATGCACTGGGGATGCAATGGTGAAGACAGTTTGTTGTTGTTTTTTTATGAGGGGCTTATGGGTTGGTGTAAGGGACAGAAAACAAAGTAAACAAATAAAATAAGTGTAATTTATGGTAAATGATATAAAGAAGTTTTAAAAAATGTTGAGATAGAAAAGAAGAAGCTGCATTTCATATAGAATGTCAATACGACCTCTCTGTGCTGTGAGATGAGAAAGTACAAAGCATTTCAGGTTAGAAAAGAATAGAATGTCTAATCTCATTCTTTCTATTCAGTAATATGTAAGGGGTTTTAGCCAGTGTAATAAGGTAGAAAAATGAAGTAAAAGTGATTCGAAATGGAAAGAAAGAATTAAAACTGATTCTATTCATAGAACAAGCTGGATAACAAATCCTTTCTGCAAAGTAACTACTAGAAAATATAAGTAAATTTAGCAAAGCTACAAGATACAAAGTTATGAGATAAAAATCAATGATGTTCTGATAGGCTCATATCACGCAATTTTAAAATGGAATTTTAAAACAAGTTCAGTTGCAATAACATCAAAAAAATGATCGATACTTAGGAATAAATAAATAAGGGACGTGCAAGACTACTATGCTGAAAACTACAAAATATTACTGAGAGAAGTTAAAGCTCTAAATAACTAAAAAGATATACTGAATTTATGAACTGGAAGACTCAGTATTGCTTAGATGTTAATTCTTCCTAAATTGATCATCAGATTCAATGCAATCACAATCGTAATCCCTGCAGGCTTTTTAAAGAAACTGACAGGCTGATTCTAAAACATATATGGAAATGCGAAAACTCTAGAATACCCAAAACACCTTAACAAAGAAAAAAAATTCAAAGACTTATACTACCCCATTTCAAGACTTTTATATAGCCACACTAATCAAACAGTGTGGCACTGGCAAAAACTAGATCAATAGAACAGAAGATCCAGAAATACACCTACACTTATATGGTCAATTTGTTTTCAGCAAAAGCGCCAAAGCAATTTATTGGGAAAAGAAGTCTTTTCAACAAGTGGTGCTCGAAAAACTTATATCCATATTTTTGAATTAAAAAAAAAAAAAAGACAACCCTTACCTCACAACTTATAAAGAATTAAGACTGATCATAGAAGTAAATTAAAAGGTAAAATCATAAAGCTTCTAGAAAATATATGCAATACCTAGGCAGAAAATACTTATTCAGAAGACTTGTTAGGCAGGGTACAGAAAGAAATGATAAATTAGATTTTATCAATTTAGAACTTATGCTCATCAAAAATTTAGAACTTATGCTTATCAAAAGACACTGTTAAGAAACAGACCTGCTACACACTGGGATAAAATAGTAAAAACTTCAATCTGAAAAGGCCTTGTATCCAATTTATATACATAAAAAAACAAACAACAATAACAACAACAAAAACCTGTTACAAATCAATGTTTAAAAGAAAGTCATCCAATAAAAGAATGGGCAAAAAATTTGAACACTTCACAAAGGAAGAAATCTGAATGGTCAATAAGTATATGAAATGGGCTCAACACTGTTGGTCATCATGCAAGTGTGAATCAAATC